TGTCTGTCGTTCTGTCTGAATTTCGAGCTTTGTTCCGTTCTTACTTTCTTGCTTTCCTTTGTTATTTCGTTCTCTGTTTCTTTCTGTCTTGCTTTCTTTCTTTCGTTCCTTATTTCTTTCTTTATTTCTTTCTTTCCTTCTGTCTTTCCTTCTTTCTTTCTTTCGTTATTTCTCTCTGTCTCTGTTTCGTTATGTCGTGGTTTCCGTCTTGCGTTTTTCCTGTCTCTGTTGTTTTTGATGCGGTCTTGGATGCATTTTGTTTTTTGTATGCATTTGTGGTTTTTTATGCATTCTTGGTTTTGTTTTGATGTATTTTTGGTTTGTTTGATGCATTTTTGGTTTTTATTGATGCCTCTCCCGTGCCAGGTGCAGGTGTCTGCCGCTAAGTGAAGCAGTCATGCTTATCTCATCTCTCCCAGCAAGAACCGACCTTAGCAACACCAGCATCCCCAATTCTTTCGGCGCATGGTCTTGGTCGGGACGGCGGCATAGTAAGCTATGTGTCCAAAGGGCGAGTCACGTCAGCAACGAAACAAAAACTACATCTCCCTTCCTTTACAGGCAGAACTTGTTCTCGGCAGTTCAGATGCACCGTTTTTATGGACACATGCAGCAACAGTCGCGTGCTTGAAGAAAGCACATCAGATAGCATCAGCATCCTCAAGATGGTTTCAGCTTCATGTCATCCCCTGGTGCTGACATGCCGTCTTCCAACTCTGGTCTGGGCCGGGTCCTGTGACCATCCATTGACTTGAAGTAGCAGGTGGCATCCACGGACCCTGTGGGTGCATACCACGCCTCGGGTCAGTGCTGTCTCGCTACAACATAATATAGACAGCCGGTACGCATTCTGCAAGTAAGGCTCGATCACCGGCGCGCAAGTTTGTCAGTAGTGGCCAGTCCAGAACGTTTAGACTTTCTCGCCTCTGGAGCCGTGAACCGTTCTCAAGCAGTATGACGACTCGTCATCGGCCAATCGAAGCTGTCTGCACCCTTTCAACAGCTTGCATCTCCTTACTGAGGCTGGGGCGCGTGTGAAACAAAGCAAGCATCCTCGCTGATGCTAAGCAGGTAGTTGGCCTTTGCTCAGCTGTCCATGTCGGCAGTGCCTCTTTGATTTGGGTCATGCTCTTGTGCGTGGCTTGGCCGGTCAGAGCAGGTCTTCTGAGTCCTCGGGCTGTGGTCTTTCTGGCAAAGTTCCTGGCTTCGCGATTGCTAAATGCCTGGCCACAGTCTGCTGCCATCACGCCAGATGTGCGGCAAGGTGCCTTCGTCTCCGTGTGGCAAGCCTCGACGTATCCTCCGCAGCATCTCACTTGTTCTATATCAGAGGAATTAAAAATGTCCGCCGCGAAGGCAAGCTGATTCAGCTGAAGATAGCTACACAAGTACTTGGGTACTGGAAATTGCACCTGACCTCCAGTCTTCGATCTGCAACTTGCAGCAGCCACAGCTGTTGCTGTTGCCAGGTCGTCGGCCATCGATCATGCCTGGCATTGGCAGCGTGCCGCATTCATGCAACATCATGCAACATTTGGAATCACGACCGACGCTCCGTAGCCCATCATCTGTGGAGACGGCTTTTCACACGAGAATTTCGGCCGAGGTCTTGTGGAAACCGCACTGGTAGCACATGCAGGACAAGTTCTTTGAAACCGCTAGCTGTTTAAGCTGCAGAACAATGCTTGGCTTCACTGCCGCAATGTCTGTCTTCTCAAAGGGATCCTCGCAGAGGTCGAAGAGGTGCATCTCGTCTGCGAGCCTCGGCCTGTAGTGAGGCACGAACCGCACAGTCGCTGCACAGAACTGCACCTGCCGGGCGTGGCTACCAATAGCTGTGCCAAGAGGCTGCAATAACGCGGCATCGCAATGTGGCACTACACCTTTCCAGCAACCTTGACGAATTGTGTAGCCCGGCTCCTGCTTCAAATCACTGCCACTTCCAGTGCCCTTGCCACCCTCGCCAATCCATGTGAAGTACAGATAGTCGTGCTCCTCCAAAGACAGCCCGACAGCGCTCTGCCGTTGTTCGAGAGTCGCTATGCATGGTTATAAAAAATGGTCCTTCTGAAACGAACCCTTCAGCTCGGGCACGATGCTGATCCCGTCCAGGCCATTGGGAACGCTTGCCCCGGCAATCTCTGCGATTGTGGGCAACACGTCCCAAAAGGCCCACGAAAAATCTGATACACGACCAGCAGGGATGCCTGCAGTTGCAACAGCCTCCTCCACATGTCTGTCGCTGCATGTCGCAGCTGAACCGAAATTTCACCAAAGCACCATCTGGCCAGCGTACCATGGTTGGGGAACGCACGCCGCCTTCGAACATACTCCTGCACAAGCACCCAGGCCGCCCGACTCCAAACTAAACTAAACCCCTTCTCCAGCAGACATTGCAGAGAGACGGAGGCTCGGAAGCGGCGCCTCTTGTAGCCTCGCAAACCACCTGTGGAATCAAAGAACCGATGGTCATGACCTCCTTCCGAGTGCGCTCCATTGTCAGACGCAAAGAAGACCTTGAAGGACGAGACTGTGAAATCACACAGCATGCGTGCCAGCATTTTAAGATGTGCCAGTGGGCGGGTGGATGGGTGGGGGGCCGGCTGGCTGGGCGGGCGCATGTGTATAACTGCGCATCCACACACATGGAGCGAGACACTGACAGGTCACCCGGACGCAGCTGCACGAGAAGCAATGCGTCATGTGATACAAGCTAAGTCACCAAGGTGTTTTTGTCGACCTTTAAGGCTTTCAGCCGTGCCAGAAGGTCACCTACCTCTCCATGCAGTATGATGCACTTGCATTCACTCGCACATCTGAGACCTGGGGCGCATTCTGCTGACGGACTTGCCTTGTCGTCCAGGTATGTAATGACGGCGGCATGATCCTGCGAGAAGACGGGGTGCTCAAAGCGGCTGCCTTTGAGAATTTCGATCAGTACACTAGCTCACAGGAAAATCCCGCCACCTCCCCAGAAGCACCA